TGAGATTGGTTTCTTGGACAGAGCATTCGATGACGGATTCGGTACGGGGTGGAATTATATAAAAGGGTTTGGAGAAGTGTAGTTTTACAATTTGGTTGCCGCTTTACCTTCTAAGGAGTTAATTATATATTTGAATAATATTGGTTTTTGGATGTCGGTAGCCAACTCCATGGCGTTTGTGCATTTAATAAGGAATGCATTTAGGTGTTCCCTACTCCCGTCGTATGGTTTAATGAATTTAAGTAAGGCATTGATATCCATTTCGAGGATTTTTGACTTAGCCCTAGTAGTCCTAGAAGATGGTGATGGTTGTCGAGGTGCTTTACCTTTGGATTCTACGGATTCTTCAGACTTGTCGTAAGAGAACTCTTCGGTTTTGGCACTTAGCATAATTGCATTAAACTAGCCAAGGAAACGAAGAGTTTCGCCAAATGTATTCAGGACTCTAATTCGATACGATAACAATGAAAAACGTTTGCATATATGCCAACGGAACTCTAAAAATAGAATTCAAAACAATGACCAAAGACTTACTGTATCGTTACTACTTGAGCAGCTGATAAGAGCGCGACGGCGACGGCGACGCTGACGGGGAACATTCCGAAGCACGATGTGTGGCGAATGACTGTCTCTCTCTCCGACAGGATGTGTCGAAGGTCGAATTGAGTGGCTATCACTCAATGGAGAGACAGACAGGAGGTTTTAATGTATCCTTTAGTCACAGGACAAGGATAGGGTTTTCACTTCACACGACACTGATTTTACTTCACAGGACACTGATTTTATTTTCACTTCACAGGTCACTGATATAGGATAATAGGCTCCCTTTGGACACTTTGTCTCAGGACTCGTAATATGGTTACGGAATTACGATTAGGAGTTTTCCAGGGTTTTACACGGGTAACACAGTGGGTGATAAGTTCACTTATCTGATTACACTTTTTGGGATGTTTCACGATATTTCGAGATCCGGCGCGAGTCTGCGGAACGGCACTGGATATTTCCGGATCCCACCGCTGCCACCAAAATGTTACGAGAGTCCTTTAGGATTTCTTTTTAAAAAAAAACTAATTTTATATTAAAACTATTTTAATTAATTAAAGGACTGAGTATACAACCGTACCGTTCGGAGATCTTGTTCAGACTGAGGGGTCTGGCATGCCACCTTACACGTTAAGATATAATAATGATGATGATGCATTTCTTATGTCATCCCAGCATAAACCCTTACATATCAGGGATATAACAGTACCATATTGTGTGGGAAGGACACATTTCTACAGTCCGAAGCTATCCACATAGCACTAGAAACTCCGCCACAGTCTGTGTCGCGTTTCCACACGAGTATACCATCTATTAGCAGTCGTAACACTTAGCGCTGTAGCCTTCACCACACTACACACCACACCACGCTCGATCTTGTCAGACATTCTGTATCCGCTCGGACACACCTGACTATGACTTTTAGTCCATCCTAAATATTCTTTTGATGGAATCCTGTAATCATACACATTGATAAGGCACATACATTATCACCGAATCAGCATGATTATTGATCATCGGTAAAACTTACTTCAATTTTTTTTTTTTTTATCACGCAATCAACATGGTTCCCATGTGAAACAAGTGAATTTATTTCTGCAAATAGACTACAAGGCAGCACTTTTACACGTCAATTTTATCAAGCGAACGATGAGGTCGACATTTCCTAACTGACTACTCTGAGAAGAAATGCCGAAACAAACTCAGAGGTCTGTCTCTTTTAAAGTCCAGACAAATATGTATAAAAAGATTATGTGTGAGAACCGTGCAAGTTCTCTGTGTAGTGGCCTTTTGAGGAAAGAACCACAACAGTTTGAGCGGACCCGTTCTGAAAGCAGTACGCATGTGTCGGTTTACAGTCAGCTCAATTAACAGATGAGGCTGAGTGATTCGACGAACAATACCAACCTAAAGAACATTTGCGTGGGTCGCACAAATACTCAAACTGTCAGAGTATGAGTAAGAAATAAGAAAAGAAAAGTCTCGCACGGTCCTAGCACTAACAATTGTAAAAAATAGAGGTAAATGTCAAGTTTAAAAAAAATATAAATTTTTCAAATGAAAAACAATATCACATTATGCTAATAATGTCAAATTGCATATAAAAAGAAATGTAACTATATGTGTCAATATGTAAAACGATGTCGTCAATATGTAAAACGATGTCGTCAATATGTAAAACGATGTCGTCAATATGTAAAACGATGCCTACAAGTAAACGTTACTTATCGCCAGTCAACTAACACAAGTAACACTAGCGGTTCAATACGTGGACATCGTTGTTGCTGACAATAAGAAAAGTTTTCATAAAATCCAGCATGAAACCTCTCAAGTAATATATCAAGGTGAAAAACTCGAAATAGTACACTGAAAGCTGGGATGTGTACATATTTGAAATTTTAAGCAAAAAAACGATAACAAATTAGGCATCATCTCCCTCTCAACATACAATGATGTATCCTGACACTCTACGGAGTCTAGTCACGTTTCTAGGAGGAGGAACCGATCCATACAGCAGCTTGTTCACCGGTAGTAGAAAGCACTCTCGGCCTCCCAAGAGGTTACTCATGCGGTGGACAAACCAAATTAAGTCTGTATTTACAAATTTGCTAAACAAGTACAGAACGGACATACATATTATGGATTACAGTAACTGTGAGGTGCATACTGGCAACCTACCTTCACTACAGTACAACAACCACATCAACACTCTATCAAGGGTAACGCTGCTAAGGAGAAACATACACATACTGCTGTCTTCCATTATAACAACAGTACTTCCCTGTACAACTACCTAAGACATGATTCAAGCAGTAACATGTAGCATTTTTCACAATTCTGCACAAGTTGTTAACTTGTGGTGAATGGTGCATATTAGAAGAGAAATATGTTTTTCATCAACATACAGCAGTTCTCCTGTTCTGATTTTAATCTTTATTCTTTGGATTACATTACTTTGATAAAAGATGTAAAATTTCAGCTGAATTCACAGCTAAACCTGAACACATAAAAAATTTCAGCTCCATCGCCTAAAGATTTGTGATTCAAAATTCAGTTGCAAGATGCCACTTCACACGCATACATGCATTTATACATTAAGTTAAGTAAAAGTTTGTTGATGTATTGACCTCTCTCAAGTGTAAACATAACAAATAATGCCTGATAACGTAAGAACACAAACATTGTTAATAATTAGTTAACTTGTTAACAGTTGATGTATTTTGCTTTGTAACAAACAACACCAACAATTTATAGTTGAAACTTGGTTCAATATTACTACTGCTGTAATATGCTTATCATCGACCCATTAACTTTAACTGTAACTTTTAACAGTAATCGATAAGCATATTCAGCATTCATATGTTGGATATTGATCAGTATTCATACTCATGACTTTGTACAACATATTCAAAAGCACAAACGTTTCACAAACTAATCCTTCACATTACTCTAAATACAACCAATGGTAACCCATGCATTGAGCCTTGGACTTAGCTTTTAAGCAGTTGCCGTTGTAAAACATTTACTCATTTTTATTTCAATAATTCAAACTTTAAATTCTTAGTATCTTACTGCTTCATACCAGGTCTGCTGTCTATATTGTTGATCAAAAAAATTAGCAGATAAAGAATACTAAATATAAGAGTAAGATTAGATCTCACCAGCCTGGTCATTGAATGTATTGCTTCTACAACACAGTGAGCCAAGCTTGCATAGCAGTCCAAGCGAAGCCAATTCACCTACTGCCACCAACCATCGACGCTCAGCTACTGCCGCAGTCATGAACTGTAGCTGTAGCGACGTCAGCACAGGCAGGCGCACCGGTGTTGAGCTCACGTTTCCTCACCAGCAATTGGCAGCATCACTCCTCCATGCAGTCAAACAAATCAAAATTTAGTGTTTCAGTTCACTTTACTTTACACAAGCCATGTTAGCAGAATCGCCTAAGAATATTAGCAGAATCACTTCAGTACCTACGTGACATTCATTGTCTCTCCTTACTGTTTGTAACAGTTAAGGACATAGGTAGGTATAACAAATTACAATGACAGAACTTGAGATTGTTAAAGATTTTAACTTAAAAGAAAATTAGTAGGAATAGTTTAAACATTGAGTTCACAATTTTATTTATTTGTAGCTTACACGTACAAATACACAAAAGCATTATAGCTTTTCAAACGAGAATTGGAATGTACTCACCGTAAGTTTCAGTCATAGTTATACGTTACCACAATTTGCCACAATACCTCGATCACAACGTACCTACTAAGTACGAACTTACATAAAACAAATGAAAAACTTTGAATACTCAATTTGCCGTATCATGCAAGTATTATCTACATAGAAAGTCAGAACGCATGGAAAATAATCGTATCCCACTTCTGATATTAGAAAACTTAAAAACTGTCATAGAGTTCACCTTACTCTTTGATGTTAGTAACTTATTTGTTTTATACCACATTGGATTTTAGAAACTCAGGAGGCAGGAGAAATAAAGAGTACCACCATTACAATTCATGAATTCACCTTATATTGTTAACATCGAAATCAAATTACAAATTCAGAATTAGCTAAACCATAACTATTAATTGGAAAGAAAAACAACAACAATAACACATAAATAGGCAAATTGACTTTCAAATAGAATAAAATTCCCTCAACACCAAATACACCGTCTCAATAATTTCCGAGTTCCCGCCATCTTGACTTTTTCATTGTTCGAACCACAGATTATATTTTCCCGCTACGCGATGACATTTCGTTTCTTTTTGTCTATGCTTCTAACAATATTAATTTATTATGTTGGTAGAACCTGAAACACTGTCTGTCAAACTGTTGAAACTGTCAAAGATGTCAATATTTAAAAACTTTGTCGAGTTTGTGATGCTTTACGTATTTTCGGGAAATTATTGCTAAGTAGTTTAGTTGATTCTATCAGTGTATAAGAAGCTATAACCATGGATGAAACATACTCGGAGAGTGATGTTTCACTCTCTCCCTCACAGATATTGGAACGTTTACAAGTGTTACGACAACTTCAGTTAATGCAGCGCGGGAAGCTGCAAAAACAACGATTAGAATACAATCAAAATTCTGAAACTTCATCAAGTATCACTGAAATTGTAGGCCATTTTAGTAATACTACAAGTTATAACACATTTCGTAGTTTATTGCAGTCTAGCAATGATATTTCGATTGAGGGTACACCTCGTACTAACGGTACTGAAATTTCGCCTAAGGTGCAAGAAAGGGACTTAATTGACGGCGTTTCAGTTCTCAACCTTTCCCAAGAGTCCGAGTTTATTGTCAACTCCCCTGTATCTAGTAGAAGTAGGACATCAGCCCCTTCAAGAAACTTAGGGGAGCTACCTTCAGAGCCATCACAAAACACAAGCAATAAAACTTCAGTGAACTCCTCTCTCAACAAGAACCCACAAGTGAAAAAACAAATATCACTGGATGAAATGCCAATTCTGTCTCCTAAAAAAGATTTTGAAGCTTTACTCATAGAAAAACTTCAGAGTGAAAAAAGTGCACCCAAACCTAAAAGCCCAAATAAGGACCATTCTGTTATCACTAACAAGAAAAGACCTTTTCTCAGACGAGGTGAAGGTATAGCTCGATTTGGTCTAAGAAAAAATGATTTTGTTATACAAAACACAAAATCTCTGCCATGGAAAAGAAAAAGCTTCCAAAATAAAACTGAATCTCCATTAAAATTGAATCTAAAAAAGCTTAAAGAGAAAAATAATGATGTTCCAAAAGAAAAAACAAGTAATGCACAAAATAAAAAATCTGATAATGTTCAAAGTGACTTGAAAAAAGTTGAGAAAGATGATGTGGTTACGTCTGAACCATCACTACTAGTAACTGATATACATCAAGCTAAGTTAGTAAGAAAGAATCAATCTAAACCAAGGCTCTCAGACAAAAATGATGATCCAGAAGTGATAACGAGAAAAGTACCAGAAATTAAACCAACAACTGTGGAACCCAGTACTCCAATCAATCGAAACATTCAACATATCAATAAACCACTAGAAAGACCAGAATTCCCAAAGAACAAACACCCTCTAGTAGCCAATAAAGGGAAATCTTGGGCCGCAGTACTAACACAAGAACAAAACGACTTCCTCAGCCAGCTGAAGCAGAGTGACTACTATAAAAACTTTGTTTCACCTTCAAAAAGTGTGATATCAGATGCTAGCTGTGATGAAACAATGACAAAGTTAAGATATGAGAGGGAAGCTGCTGAACAAAACATGTTCGAACTACTAGAAAATAAAGTCACACATGATAGTTTCAGTTTAGAAAACTCATTCTTTGATAGATTCCTAAGAAGTAACTTGGAAAGCTCAACTGAAAGTACCCCTTTAATCCTTCAAAAGTGTTTGGCACGAAACCCAAATCTTATAAATATTTTACCTGGGTTGAAAGGTAGAGTCAGAAATGAGAACTCTCATAGTGATGCAGAGACTTGTTCTAGTAATTGTTCTGACTGCAGTGATGCATGCTCATCATGCTGTTCTTGCAGAAATGTTGACCAAAGTAATTATTCTGGGAAGAAGTCTCCACAGAATCATAATGAACACAACAATAAGAATGCAAAAAGTATACAACCAAAAAGAAAAGCAGTCCAAATAAATCATCAAAAAGAGGATGAATCAAAAGAATGCCATGATGACACAATGACAGAAACTGATGTCATGAAAACGAACATGGCAGAAATGAATGCCAAACTGATATCCACAAGTGAATTACTAAAAGACAGACTTTGTGAATTGGAAGACGAAATAGCTACTTTCAAAAAGGAAAATGCTAATTTGGCAAAATTACGCGAAGAAGTCGACCAAGACAGGCAGAAGTTTTACGAAGAAAAAGCAGCTTTTGAACAAAAGTTCAATGAAGAAAAAGTTCTATCAGAATATTATCTAGCAGAAGAAAAAGAGAAACTAAATAAACAGAAGCAAATGTATGAGAGATATGTGAGAGAAATGAGAGGCAGACTGAATAAGAAAGACAAAGACGAAGTCGTGAATTTGAAGAAAGAAATAAACGATCTTAAAGAAGAAATAAGAGTAAAAGATGCTAAATCTACTTCAACGATAGCTAGACTGCGAAACCAAATCAAAATAATGGAGAAAGAAAGGAAAGATTTGCAGGAAGAAGTAGAGAAACTAAAGAAGCAAAACAAGAGAATCCAACACAGTAATGAAGTGACACGAAGACTGACGAATATAAAATATCTTGAGGAAATCAATAAAAAGTTGACTAACATGAGTAATAAGGACAGTAGGTCTGAAGTCAGCGAAGACCGCGACATCAAATATAAGGCCTACGAGATCGAAAGGCAAAGTAGAAGCAGGAGAGTTGAACCAGTTGGAAAAAGCACTATTAGGCCAAGGGCAAAGAGTGTTCCTAACTTAAATGTCACTTCTAGATATGCTAAGTACTTCAGCCAGAGGGACACTCTTAGTCAAATAGAACAAAACAAACTACCGAATGTGGAAAGAATAGATTATTCTGATGAAGAAAATGAGGAAAGAGATAATGACACAATTTCAAATGAATCTCTAGATGATGATGACAGAAATGAGGATAGTAATAACTTAGAAAAAATATACATTGAAAGATTTAAGTCAAGTTCACCAAAAAGCGCAAGATCCAGTGGTTCAAGTTTGAATTTTGAACTCAATTTAAATGAGAAACCAAACTTAAATGACAACGCTAAAAGTTTCTTCATACAAAAATCTAGTTCTGGTTCATCAAGGACTTCAAAGTCACCAAGAAGAACGATATCTCCATGTTTCAATGCAAATGAGACTGTTATAAACCGGGCAAAATCTCCTATTTCCATCCTAAGCAATAAATCTAGTAAGTCGCCTCCATCACGGAACTCTACGGAGTACTTATCAAGTCGTTCAGGATCCATCGCGACACAGAACAGATCAAAATCTCCAGTTTCTTCTTACAACCATTCTTCTATGAAGTCTGTGACAGTGATACACAATGAACAGTATAGAGATAAGCTCATGAACTTGAGTCCGGAACCTTCCATTAGCAGAACTAGTTTGTCAAAAACTAGTTTGAATCCCACTGAAGTGAAGAAACCAGATGGTTCTAAGGAATTGAGGTTTCCTAATGGCAATGTAAAGTACATATCCGCAGATGGCAAATATAGCAAGTTTGTGTACTACAACGGAGATGTTAAGGAGAACTTCTACAGTGATGGCAGGATCAAATATTTCTATGCTGAAACTAAGACCTACCACACTACTCATGCTGATGGATTGGAAGTCTTGGAGTTCCCTGAGTAAGTATTGATCTTCTTAGTCACTATTAACGTTTAATTCTTTTTTTATAGAAAATCTAGCAACAAATTAGCTAACCATGTAGGTATGTTACCAAGGTAACCAACCAGTATTTTTAAAACACGAAAACTGATAGATACCGACCAATGGTTATCGAGATTAATACTCGAATCAGGTGAAGTATTATCAAATTCTTTTAAATATTCACTAACTGTAGTCTCCTATTATGTTGGTGTTTAAACATAACCGGCGCATATGTAGGGTGTTAGATTTAATATCTATCTCGAGAAATAAGTAAATACATCATCAATTTTCTCTTTTATTTCCAGTGGCCAAGTAGAAAAACGCTACAAAGACGGATCATCTGAGATCCGGTTACCAAACGGCAGCGTCCGTTACTTCGACCCGAAGAACGAACACGTTAGAGAAGAGTGGCGGTTCCCGGACGGCGCGGCGCTCACCGTCTCCGCTAGTGGCGAACAACGAATTGTCTTTAGCAACGGACAAGTAGAAGTTCATGCTAAAGATCATAAGGTATTTATAATATTAAATTATTGTTGGCCGAGTGGTCGCAAGTGTGACTGCCGGGCAAGGGGTCTCGGGTTCGATTCCCGGGTCGGGCAAAGTATTACTGGGTTTTTATTTATTTATTTAATGGGTTTTTAAAAAAAATCTCAGTAGTTGCTACTACTGAGATTTTTTTGGAGTTTGGAATTGTGCCCGGTATATGGCAATAGGCTCACCCCCTATTATATGGGACTCATAACATAAATAGTGAAAAGTGGGTGTTACATTGTACAGTGGTATAATGTGCACCTCTGCCTACCCCTTCGGGGATAAAAGGCGTGATGTTATGTAATATTAAATTATTATCTAGATAAGTCGCGTGCAGAAAGCTACTCATGTGTGTCAAATTTAGTTATTCTCTAGTCTAGTGGGTCTTGATACTGTTAAAATATTAAGATAAAAAGCTCACCGAAAAGTGGGTTCAGTATTTTTAAACTAATTATGTTTCGTCTGATGTATGAGAATATCGTTTTCGGGTAGAAAGACTTGAAAAACCTGAAAAACAAATTCTTGCGAAATAACGTCAGAATAAAAATAGCCCACAAGACTTACTCGAACTCGAAATCCAAAGTGCTCAGTAAGCACATTGGATTTTAAAATTTGGTTTTATTAGGTTAATAATAATACGGAATTTGAAATTTTGCTCAATGTGTTGCACTAAACGAAATGCAGTATTTTCATCATCTCAAATAGAAAGCATGATAAGTCAAGATTCCTTATTAAATGAAACCCATTTTTTACGTACATACTTACGTACAAAACTTACTCCTTTATCTTGATCATAATAATTATCTTAAAATTTCAGCGCCGCGAGTTCCCTGACGGTACTGTAAAGCTGGTTTACAACGATGGTACGTCTGAAACACGGTACGCGTCTGGACGCGTGCGCATCAAGGACAAACATGGCAACCTCATCATGGACTCCGCCCCCGGATGATGTTCAAAGAATTTTGTGCATTATAACTTTAGTGTTAAAGTTGATATTTGAATGAAGTGCCTTGATTAATCGATGTTTGGACTATTTCGAACTTTTGTCCATTTCAAGTTATTTTGTAATACTTTAATGAATTGTGATAAAACTTGTACATGTTTATAGATTATTGATTACTTTTAAATATCGGTGTTAAATATTGTTTAGGAAAGTTTTATTTAAGTTGTAATATTTTGTAAAGTTAACTTTTTTAAGGACAATGTCGGATTTAATAAAGGTTGTTATTTTTTTTTGTGTAATTCATGTTTCTTTTTTTTTATTTACGCTTGTTGTTAGTAGGCTAGTGTGATACACCCTTTATATTTTGAAAATCTAGTTCGATTGTGGGTGAATACTACAAATATACTAATATCATGACAAATCCAAAATATAGACGTTTTTCCTATTTGAAAACTAAATCTGTATAATCTGAATCTTATAGCACTAGCAATAAGGTTGATAATAGGCAAGTTTATAAATCAAATAATTGGATAAACAATATACAACTTTAATCCTAATTCTACATTATAATAAAGTTCTAATTCAACTGGCAGATATCTGGTAGCGTGTTTGTGACGCTGGCTTGGGTATGCCTTCCAATTTGAAGTCGATTGGTTTCATGTGGTCTTCTGTACCGAAGATCTTCTTCAAAGCTTCTCTCGCGGCCATTTCTTTGGCAATCGCTACACTTTCGCCAAAACCTGAATAGATAAAAAAATGTGAAGTGGTATTGTGAATATGCTTCAACTATAAACAAGCACAAAAAAATATCATCGTCATATCAGCCACATGATGATCAGCTCATGAATGTTGACGTGATAAAACCAATACGCCACCGCGCTTCTAAAGATGCTTCCCACACAGCAGAATTACAAAATTCTAAATTTATTTATTTATTAATTTCAAAATTCGAGAATATCAAAATGTATGTAGAATTGTAAATTTGCTCGCCGTTGAATAGTTTCAACTCACGGCCGTCACAGCCTTGAGCGCTAGTATATCGAATGTCAGCTTAGTGAATACCAAACGATAATTTCGTCGCTGCAGCAGCGCTGCAGGCAACGCTGTATCCTTAGAGATTAGCACTGCAGTTATATAACGTTATACCACATTGTGGAACACGATAACATTTATAATAACGTGTAACATACTCTACAACATGTCAAATTACTACTACAACTTTTTAACCGACTTCAAAAACAGGAGGAAGTTCTGAAATCGACTGTATAGTTATGTATGTTTTTTCGCCGATATCGCCGTTATTTATAAGCCGATTTTCATAATTATTTTATCGATAGAAAGGAGAATGGTCCCATGATAAGGAAATCAGGATCTGATGGAAGACCAGAGATATCGAGGGGAAATTTCGAAAAATGTAGGGGTGAGTAATGCGTTTTGTACTGATAGGTTAGAAGTCGGTGTCATAATGATTGGAATTGAACAAATGATTTAATGGTAACAAAATTGTAAACAGCTTAAACATATTTTAATTTGTTTAAAAACAAGTATTAATTCAGTCTCTAACATTATATAACTACTGTGTGGTAGAACCTTTATAACAAAAACATTTCAATCAATGCATACCTGAAGACACCATTTTCTTGTCTACATAGAGACCGACCCTGTAGCACGCAAGCAGGGTGTTTCGCCCCACCTCGCCAATGAGCCTGGGCTCAAGGTTACCACCTGCTTTCTTTACAATATCAGCTAGCATAGACCATGGGTCCTCTATGGTGAAGTACTCGTTTACATCCTGACCTGGAAACATAATAATGAAATGTCTTCGTTTTTTGATGAATACGGCAGTTGACAGGTAGTCAAATTCAATAGTTTTATTGAAATGTCAAAAACGATACTTTTCTACGAATTTTGTATTGGATCGCAACTAATGACGTCATCATATTTCGGCGTCAAATAGCATACTTATTTCCTTAAAATTAGCTAAAAAAATCTAAAAGTAGGTAAATTGTTAAATCAATGGATAAGAGTATGATTATTTTTTTAATTATTTATTGCATTGAAAAGTTGAAACAATTTATTTTAAACCTAGGAAACTAGCCAATTGCTCAGCCACCGCGCCAATCGACTGCACGGTTGGCGCGGTGGCTGGGCAACTAGCTGCCGCACAACGTGTCGCGGGTTCGATTCCCGCACGGAACAAATCTTTGTGTGATCCACAGATTGTTGTTCCGGGTCTGGGTGTCATGTGTATGTGACATTGTATGTTTGTAAACGCACCCACGACACAGGAGAAAATCCTAGTGTGGGGCAAAAAAAATTGGTCAGTCATTTGTTACTGTTGAGCCAACAGTACTTACATGGACTACATTCTCGATTCCAGGGAAAGGTAAGATGAAGATATCTTCAATTTTTAAAACTCTTAGTAATAACATGATGTTGTTGTATTTGTGGTACAAAGAATTTATTGTGCCATATTAGAGGAGGTCTTATTAGACCATTGACTCTTTCAGTTCTATCTGGAATGAAAAGCTCATGTTTATACAACTACTTACCATTTAACTGTGTGATGACAAAATCTCTAACAAAGTGTGCTGCCCTCTCCTCACCGGATGACTCCAGCAGGGCTCCAACCACTGCCTTGAAGTTAGTTGCTAAGATATAGTTGTCCACTGGATATTCCTAAACACACAATATTCCCGTGACTTCGTTCGCATGGAATTGTGATTCACAGCTCCTCCCCCGTAGATGATAGTGTGATAATGTGTATGTAATATGTTTGATTTTCTGTGTTCCTGAGTTTTGTACTTGATTTAGATAGGTCATAGACCAGAGCCAGACAAGTTTGTGAACTACTGGTATAGAATAATGAAATTTTAGGATACAATATTGACCCGTATATCCCCAAGTGGTCTCCGGTGACCGCTCTCCACTAACTACATTATAGACCTTATTTCCAATATTTAGTGACTCCTTTTGTATGAACAAATTTAGGAGATGATTTTCAATGGTTTAATAGATAATACTTACAGCAGCTAGAATGATATCTTTGGTGCCCAGATTCAGGGATATATTTGCTAATGTTTCCTCACTGACTAAGAAATTCCTCACACCTTTCACACCTTCCATCGGGAACTTTGGCAGCACTGTCTCCAAGTAATTTTGGATGTAGGCATTTATGAATTTGTCTCCTGTAAAAATTATAATGTAAGTCGTTGTGGTGGCCCGGAGGTTAAGACCTCCCAACGGCAAGTACCAATGTGACTTTTTCCGAGTTATGTACTTTCAAGATTATTTAGACACCACTGACAAACGGTGAAGGAAAACATCGTGAGGAAAAGGAAACCTGGACTTATAATTTCTAATTATTAGTTTGAAATCATGAGCAAGCGTGGTGATTAATGCTCAAACCTTCTCTGCGTGAGAAGAGGCTTTGCTCAGCAGTGGGCATTTATAGGCTGTTGATCATGATGATGATGAAAAATTATAATGTAGTTGGATAATTCATTTCTATTATATGTATGAATTTTACAAAAGTAAGTTCTACTGCTAGATCAAAATAAGGATTTCTAAATCTTTGCTTGTATGAATGTATAATGAAAACACAAAACTCTGCAAACACATATGGAAAGACAAAGCATAGTTAAACTCATGAGGAAGGGTCCCTCTGGGACTTGAAACTAGTACAGCTTTTCTTATTATATTTACGTGAGTAACTCGTAATTTTTAATTAATTCACCATGTCTCACGATATACATTACTGACTGCCTCGTTGGCCGAGTGGTTGCAAGTGCGACTGCTGCTGGGCAATGGGTCTCAGGTTTGATTCCCGTGTCGGGCAAAGTATTACTGGGTTTTAAAAAATCTCAGTAGTACCACGGAGTCTGGAATTGTGTTCGGTATATGGCAAAAGGCTCACCCCCTATTACATGGGACTTGTAACATAAAAAGTGAAAAATGGGTGTTACATTGTCCAGTGGCATAGTGTGCACCACTGCCTACCCCTTCGGGGATAAAAGGCGTGATGTTATTTATGTTATGTTCATAACAGCCATGTAATAAATATAAAATTACCTTTCTCGGCTAATTCTCTGTTGTCTTTCATTTTTATATCAAAATCCATTTCTTTTTGTTTCATCTCCTCTTTAATAACGTAGGATCTATCCGTAAATGCTTGTAGCAACAAATCTGGATCGAATTCTTCATTCAAACGCTGTCCGAAACCATAAAGTTCCGCTTCCAAGTTCCATTCTAAGTATGTGTTTCTTGGGTTTATTCTCTTACCAACTTTATCCTCACGACGCTTCAACTCCATCAATGTAGGAGAAACCCATCTATGTATCTTTTGAGCTGAAAAATTAAAGATTCAAATGAGATACTGAAGTAAAAATACAAAATAAAAAGGCGAAATTTTTAATACTCACTTTGCACTGTCGTGGGATGAATACGAACAATCTTAGTAATTAAGGGCACACAACGTCTTATTAAAGCCATTTTGTAGGCGTTAAATATATTTGTAGTTATTATTTTCTTTCAAAATATATAAAATAAATACATAATAACTTGGCGAGCCAGATTCCCAAAACAAACGTCAAGTTTTAAGGTTAGGTTTTTATGTTGCTAGTTGTAGAAAAATAACTTACTATTAGTAGGAAATTCCTAATCGGTAGAAAAATCTGAATTAGAACTAGCGTTTTTTTCTCTCTCACCAGATAGCGCTAATGTATGCGTGCGTGCGGTCATGTTTATTGTTCATCTAACAACTGTAGTTATAAAAACTATATATCATCACTAGCTGTTCCCCGCGACTTCGTCCGCGTATAATAATGGCTTCTGGCAAATTTTGAATTTTTTATTCGTCTTTTCCAAGGCTATTCATCGATTAAGTTGTGTTTATTGTGAAATGTTGTTCATTTTCATCCATTCACGTGAGGTTGTAGTGATTTAAAACTCCATTTGGATTCCAATCAAATAGGTACAACGGTTGAAAATTCTCAGTCACACGACAAGTGTCGGTCGTACCTGTCGTGTTAGTCGTATTTGTCATGTCGGTCGTATGTGACGTATTTGTCGTATCTGTCGTGTCGGTGGTATCTGTCGAGTCGGTCGTATGTGTCGTGTCGGTCGTACCAGTCGTATCTGTCGTGTTTGTCGTCTCGGTCGTATCTGTCGTATTTGTCGTATTTGTCGTGTCGGTCGTATTTGTCGCGTTTGTCGTTTTTGTCGTGTCGGTCGCATCTGTCCTGTTTGTCGTATCGGTCGTATCTGTCGTATTTGTCGTGTCGGTCGTATCTGTCGTGTCGGTCGTATTTATCGTGTCGGTCGTATCTGTCGCGTTTGTCGTGTCGGTCGTATATGTCGTATTTATCGTGTTGGTCGTATTTGTCGTGTCGGTCGTATCTGTCGTGTCGGTCGTATTTATCGTGTCGGTCGTATCTGTCGCGTTTGTCGTATCTGTCGTGTCGGTCGTATTTATCGTGTCGGTCGTATCTGTCGCGTTTGTCGTGTCGGTCGTATATGTCGTATTTATCGTGTTAGTCGTATTTGTCGTGTCGGTCGTATCTGTCGTGTCGGTCGTATTTATCGTGTCGGTCGTATCTGTCGCGTTTGTCGTGTCGGTCGTATATGTCGTATTTATCGTGTTGGTCGTATTTGTCGCGTTTGTCGTGTCGGTCGTATATGTCGTATTTGTCGTGTCGGTCGTATCTGTCGTGTCGGTCGTATTTATCGTGTCGGTCGTATCTGTCGCGTTTGTCGTATCTGTCGTGTCGGTCGTATTTATCGTGTCGGTCGTATCTGTCGCGTTTGTCGTGTCGGTCGTATATGTCGTATTTATCGTGTTAGTCGTATTTGTCGTATTTGTCGTGTCGGTCGTATCTGTCGTGTCGGTCGTATTTATCGTGTCGGTCGTATCTGTCGCGTTTGTCGTGTCGGTCGTATATGTCGTATTTATCGTGTTGGTCGTATTTGTCGTATTTGTCGTGTTGGTCGTATCTGTCGTGTCGGTCGTATTTATCGTGTCGGTCGTATCTGTCGCGTTTGTCGTGTCGGTCGTATATGTCGTATTTATCGTGTTGGTCGTATTTGTCGTATTTGTCGTGTTGGTCGTATCTGTCGTGTCGGTCGTATTTATCGTGTCGGTCGTATCTGTCGCGTTTGTCGTGTCGGTCGTATATGTCGTATTTATCGTGTTGGTCGTATTTGTCGTGTTTGTCGTGTTTGTCGTATTTGTCGTGTCGGTCGTGTGGGTCGTATCTGTTATGTTTGTTGTAGTTGTTATGTTGGTTGTATCTGTCGTTTTTATCGTATCTGTCGCGTTTGCCGTATCCGTCCTGTTTGTGTTATCAAATCTGTCGTGTCTATCATGTCAGTCGTGTTTGTCGTATCTGCCATAACTGTCGTGTCGGTCATATTTGTCGTATTTATCGTGTTGGTCGTATCCGTCATGTCGGTCGTGCATCGTGGTCGTGGTCGTGTTTGTCGTATCTGTCGTGTCGGTTATATCTAATGTGTCGGTCCTGTCCTACGTATCTGTCGTGTCTGAGGTATTTATCGTATCGGTTGCGTCGGTCGCGTCTGTCGTGTCGGTCGTGTCGATCGTATCTTTCTCTATACCGAGCTTGCGAGGCTAACATATCGGACATTCGCATTCGGACAATAAGAGGTATGCAGAACGTAGTGCAACACGGACGAGAATAAAGCTAGTGGTTTCGACAGAATCCTTACAGTAGTTTTGAAAATGTATGCACATGAGTTGTCTCCAACAATATTACACATTTCATTCAGGTACTGTTTTCACACTTCGGGTTACATTACCTAAATTTTCACACGGTTCTCTTTTTTCTGTTTTATTAAATATAGCCTATGTTCAGCATCGATAATGTAGGATTCCAACGGTAAAAGAATGTTTCCATTCGAGAGGAGATTCCATTCAAACAAACAAACAAAACATCAAATCTTTCGTCTTTATACTATTAGTGTAGATTAAAACTTCGCGGAAATTAGACAAAATCCCCAACTTGGAAGTAAAATAAGCAACTTGAGTGGACCGGCTCGATCGGGATAAGATAAGTACCACACCATTCTGTTTGCAGAATATCAGCGTGAAGTAGTGACGTAATGTTACTACATTTTGTACAGTAAATGAGAGTTCTGTATGCAATTCATCGACATTTGATTACGCCATCATTAACAGGGAACAATCGTTCCCGAAAATGAGGAACCTACACCTCGAGTACGAATAAACCAAATCACGCAGGACCTCGTAAGGTACCGTACTGTAATAAAACAAAATCAAATTATTATCTTTAAATATACTTTCCATCATAAAACAGTAGACACTCACAGTCAAGAATACACGTTCATTAAATGTACAAAGTATAAAAATAAAAAGTCAAAAACATTACAGCATCAACTCTTACGGTTTGTTAGAAACCCTCTCACTGAACTGAAGAAACCTCTTTTTATTTTACTGTTCACTGGAAGGATTGTGTGGTTGCTGTAGAACGATGCTGATGTGTCGTAGATCGACGAACTTATTTCCACAGCCTGAAAAAAACAACCACATACTTAAATGTACACGCGCCTGATTAAAAAACAACCCATTTTGCTGTCTCACAGTTTTCAAACAGGCGGAGATAACGCAAGAAGTATTTATTTCAGTCGACGTTTGGGCCTGTTTTATCTACCTACTTTATAATACGAGTTGAAAGAATGATTAGGTACAACTAAAGATACTAAGTTTTACATAATTCTCAAATTGGATTCTGTTTTTAAGCTATTGTTAAGCCTATGAATTGCCAATGCTATGTACGCCATTATTGTCGCATGCATCAGATCTTTATTTTGTTACTTTTGTGTATTTTAAATGTTATATGTTTGTGATGCGGCAGTACTCCTTCGAATAAATAAATAAATACTAACTCCTAGCGAAGTGCTGATGTGATAGGAATCAATAGAACTGTTGACGCTGGGCGGATCTTCGAGTACAGGCCCCGTGGGTAACTTCAGCTCTGAATCCCTGGCCGATCGCATGACTAGGCACGACATTAATCTTCTTAAAAACGGTCGCTTTGGCTTTGAATCCCGCGGCTCAATTATATACTTAACAGACTTATTTTCTGAGTTGTAGCCTTCCTCTGAATATAAAGAGTAGGCTGACGTTCCTAGGTTGGGTGTAGCTGATTTCCTGTGCCCTGAAACAACAATATTTACATTCCTAAAACCGTCATGATAGCCACATGTAATACTGATTTGGAAAGTCGCAAATCCCAACAAATGGTACCAAGTACGATATCATCGAGATGATAAACTTAGTATGTTTTTGAAAACGACCACTGACAGGCTTTGCACAAAAACCCATAATAAAACAATTTTTGGATGTTGATGTATCAATATTTGCTTTTCCTAGACTGCCTCGTTGGCCGAGTGTTTGCAAGTGCGACTGCCGAGCAAGGAGTCTCGGGTTCGATTCCAGGGCCGGACAAAGTATTAGTGGGTTTTTTATGAAATCCTCAGTAGTAGCACGAATTCTGAATTTGTGCCCGGTACATGGCAATAGGCTCACCTCCTATTACATGGGACTCATAACATAAATAGTGAAAAGTGGGTGTTACATTGTACAGTGGCATTTAAGTACCGTAATGTGCACCTAGAGGGTAGGTAGACTAAAAGGCGTAATGTTATGTTATGTGTATATTTGCTTCTTACACTCACCTCTAAATATGGTATGAAATGATTTGACGTGAGCTATACTTGAATTGGACAATGCTCCGACATCTGTCGATGAATACGCTACTTGCTTCATATATGCAATGCTTGCGTAACGAATTTCTACTGAAGACACAGTTTTTCTAGTGCGTGTATCGTAGTCGCCATCTTTAATATCATCATTTGTATTTTCTGCATTAAACAAAACAAACGTCTTCATTTCAGTCTCCTGGTGTTCAATATCCATAGAATCGTTATATGCACAATCGCCCAGGCTCTGTTCTTGGAAGTCATTACTACGTGCATATACACTAGGTGATCTTTGCTCACTTAGACGATCGGGGTCTTCTACTTGTTCTGAAGTGCTACTATTCACCTCGTCTCTGCCTGTTCCAATGTCCATGTTTGTGAAACATTCTGCGTGCCGTTGTTGTATTATTGGTGTAGAAGTGTGTTCGACAGTCCATACCCCCTTGTTGTTGTTGTCATGTTTTTTATTATATCTGCTTTCATCATCACCAGCAGCAAAGCGAGAATTCTCATCATAATTATCTATTTTATAAACTTCAATGTTGCCTGATTTTTTCGGCTTCTTTTTTTTATCACATGAATCAGCTTTTTTCTTATCCTTTTTCGATTGCTTGGATTTCGGAAGATGGCCCCATAGTCTTTCGTCTGTATATTTTTTACAATTGTCTAGAGAACACTTGACCTCAACTTGTGCATATTTTTCATGTTTTGATCCTTTGTGTTGGGACTTTTTTACGGCTTTTTCTTTCGGCTTTTTTGTTCTTACTTCACCAATAGACACATCACTTTTCTGGCGTTTGACTGGCCCTTTGCGTTCATCGTCTTCGTCTAGGTCGTCAGGTCCCTCATTTTTGTCAGATGAGTCAGATTTCTCAGCTTTATCAGGTGACCCAGATTTCCCACGTTTACCAGACTTCCCTCGTTTACCAGATGACTCAGATTTCTTGGTTTTACTAGACTTTGGAGATTTTTCGCGTTTAGCAGATGTCGGAGATTTGTGGCGTTTACGAGACGCCTCGTGTTTCTCGTGTGACTCAGATTCCTCAAGTCTGTTGGATTTTTTAGATGACACAGATCCCTCGCGTTTGCGTGACACTTCAGGCTTATCAGGTTGTTTATCAGACTTTTCACGTTTACTAGACTCTCTGCGCTTACCAGAAGGCTTCTCCGGTTTACGCGATATTTCTTTTTCGTCACGGTCTTCAGGTTTATCGTGTCTATCAACTACCGCAGGTCTGTCGCGAATACCATATTTGTCCGGATCCCCAAATTTCTCATATCTACCATACACCTCAGGTGACTCGAGCTTACCATACGGCATAGGTCTCTCTCGTCTGCCATACATCTCGGGTCTGTCGTATCGATCACATTCGGGTCTCTCGTATCTGTCATAAACTTCAGGTTTCTCGTGTTTACAACACACGGGGTCCTCGCGTCTGCTATACATCTCTGAGCTGTCGTGTCGCGATCTGCGTTTGCCGAACCCGGTGCACTGAGTGCGTTTGGTGAACGGTTTATGGCGTTTACTATTTTTAGCTTTGACTTTCAGAGAAATCTCACTGGACGCGCGTTCAAGACAGGTCTCCTTTTTCTCGCGTTTGACAGGTATACATTTTCGTTTGTCATGACTACTTTTCTTTACACTTATTGTTTTTTGAATAGTTTTCTTAACTTTATCATATTGTTTTCGTGAAAGTATTATAGGTTTTTGTTTAGAAAATTGATCAACTTGAAGGAAAACTTGAATATTTCTGTTTAATATCAATTGCTGATAGATAGCAGATTTATCTCTACCGAAACTTTTACAGGATCTATCTTCCTTCGGACGTCGTACTGTCCTTAAGCTGATACCACTAACTCTGTCATCGCAGGGCACTGAAAGTGGTATATGGCGAGGGCTCTCACAACATTTCTCGCAAGTATCTACGACTGAATAGTAACTTTTGGATGGTTTTTTAGGAACGCTTGGTTGACGGCATTGAACAGAAACAGATGCTCTATTTTTTGTGTGACGTGACTTGAAACAGGGTAGCACTTTTTGAAACTCAAAATTAATTTCTGTGAGTTCACTATTTTTGCTAAAAGAAAGAAGGAAGTTGTATTAGAAATAAATTTATTACGGTAAAAGCACCAATAAAGATCGAGTTACGTATCAGCATTAGACAAATACTGGCAAAGTTATGGAATATGGATAGTTCATGTTCGGGTGATCGAAACTGAAATTATAAAAATATTATAAACTATATAACCTATGTACTGTAGATCTAAAATAAAATAAAACAATTTCTAAGGTCCATTACTGATGCACAAAATTTTATTAACATCTAGTGGTGGCCACCCCAAAAATACATTGAAAAAAGGATATCAATAAAATTTTCCAATATGATTAATATTCAAAGTCAATATAGGAGCAATTTGAAAAGTAATAAAATCCCCTTATGTGAAGCACCAGTAATAGACATTCATTACCGGTGCTTTTACCATAACAAAGTAAAATAAAAATAAAATTCAGAACCATTCTTTTCGGTAGATACACTGATAGGGAATGCGACTGCTGTTGTCAGAATAACGAGCCTAAAAAAGAAAACCTTGAGTAAATTACAAAATAAAAAATAAATTACAAGATAAATACCTATATTCAAGCAGGTAAGCAATCTATGACATGGGAGTGCCATGCTTCGACGTGAATAGACAGGCTCGACCGCGGTGACACCACGGCCTTACACTTAAGGAACGATGCCGCGCCCCAAGGCTGGATAACCACTTGTAATTCATCTGGTGTTGCGGGTGTCCATAAACGGTGCCAGGAGCTTACCATCAGGGGCTCGAATCTGCTATGCAAAACTATCAGAATGGTCGATCATTCTGACACAGTTGTAATAGCAGACTAAGGCCCCTGGTAATCGTGTAATCGTTTGCCATCCCATAGAACATATGAAAAAATTTACGTAACCGAGCTTACAGAGGCACCGCGCTTATGAGATGCTTGTCTAGATTTAATCTGCCTCTGCCTATTCGTAACGATTACAAGCTATCAGCTACTATAAAGGGAGAAAGTAAATAGATACCGTATATATAAGTACCTACAGCCACATTTTTATACCTGCTGAGATCCTGTGAAACTTTGTTTTAATTTATCCACACCAAGAAGTTGCCTGATCTGTTTATCTCTCTCCACGGGGTCAGTGATGGAACAGTCGTCGCCAATAAAGTGTTTGATTGGAGCTGTAACATTATAAAATTACATGAAATATATACATTGCTCAATTGGGTAGTTTCCAAGGTATCAAAATTAAAAATCTAATTAGTATATTTTTATTTTCTCGTATTAAGTTGCAATACTTAGATAAAATGGCGCTAAGTTTAGGAGTGGGAGGTCGTGACGTCATAACGTGCTACAAAATGTGACATGCTGTGACGTCACACAATATTTCAAATTAATATATCGTCGAAACCATTTAATTTTGTGAGAAAAAAAAATACGTGTCTAAAGTTTTAAATTAATGTACCAGACGGACATTAAAATAAAATTTAGGAAACTACCCTATTCTTCTAAATTATCAGTTCCGTTCATTCATTTTTCTATCTATCTGATCTCGTAAATAATGGAATATCTGTATAAGTTAAACATTCAAGAGATAACAAAACGACTACATGATGATGCTTACTTTGCCTTGCAATTTTACGAGAGGTATAGTAGTGCTACTCATTTTTATCCAATCTAAACACATTACAGTCTCACCTAAGAATTCCGTTGCATCTGGAAGAGTGGTGGCGATCTGAGCCGTGAAACAAGTTTGAGTGTTCTTTAAGTTATTGTGGATACCTCTATCTTCACGCCTAGTATTTATAAAAAAATATTAATTTTTCAGGTTCTGTATTAATCACAACGTAGAATGGAAGTAATTGTCTAAGAATTGACGCGAAACTTAAAAAAGCAATAAAAAATAAATCTACCTGTGAGAAATCTCAAGACTATCTCGTATTGTAAGTCTTGAAACTTGAGTGTCTAACGGAAACTCATCGTCTGAGGGCTGAAACGAAAAAGTATTGGATAGATACATCTAGGGAGTCATATCTTCGGTTATGTCGATGTAGAATTGTCAGCCATTCGAGTCATTTCTAAAAATCACTATAGTGACATTTTAACATATGAATATCATGAACGAACGATAATTAATGTCAAGCAAGTGGGAAGATTACGGTGCCTGTAGATGTTCGCGCAGTTGGCGCTCCACTCTACAGATACTTACATTATTATAAATCGACAACGACTTCGATTGCGAATCATTTTGCCCTTTGCTCTCTTCCTTTTCGACAATGATCTCGGGCACATACATAAAATTCTCTAACGAAAGTGAACAATCCTGTTCCTCATCATATTTTTGTGAACCCATATCTTTTAGTGTCTTTCGGATTGTCACGTCAGTCGACCGTTTATCTTGATTGAACAAGACATCGTAGTATTCTCCATCGCCGTCTATATTTATTGTAACTTTAGAATTATCAAACCTGGCAGGAATGGAATCCTTCTGGCTCATTTGATCAGTTAATTGCTTTGTATACGTCTCGATTAATGTTCTTTTTTTCCGAACGTGCTCTGTATTAGTTCCCATTTCATTTATTCTGTTCGTAGTAATTCTCGAGTATTCGTCGTCTTCGTAAACCTGGGATGCATTAGGTACAGTATAAGTTTCCTGATTTCTGGCACGCGATGAAAAAGGATATTGTTGTTTTTTTGATATTTGCGTCCCGTTAGATTTGGATCCTGTGTAGGGTTCCCTTTCTGATACTTGTGTACCGTTACTTGCAAAGAATTGTGGACTTTTAGGTACCTGTGTAGCATTAGACACCTGGGTAGTTCGAGGAAACCTTATTGGTGAAGGCTTTTTAGGGTATTTTAAAGATGGAGTGGCAACAACGTTCCTGGAATGTTTCACTGGAGCTATTTCCGGTATACTGTCTGTGATATTATTATCTACGAACTGCGTACCGTTAGACGCCATACTCTGCGGCCCATCCGAATACTGAGTTGCATTGGACACGGTGTAAGTTTGCCGCTTCCTCACAGAGACTTGTGTTCCGTTAGACGCCTGGTATACTTGATTATTTTTATTCGAAACTTGCGTTGCATTAGACAAAGCGTGCAATGGGTTTTTTTTAGAGACTTGTGTTGCATTTGATATAGTTATATTCTGAAGGTTTTTAGCAACCTGAGTTGAGTTGGCTGTATTGAACTTTGATGGAGGCTTTCGCGGACTAGGGTCATGTTTTAATAATTTATCCTTTTCTTGTATCTTTTCTTTTATTGCTCTGAGTGCTCTTTGCCTATCAGGACTTTTTTTTTCACTGACTTGTGTTCTTACTGATTCCTCTAGAACCTTTTTTGCAGGCGACGGTGATCGACTAGCTGCAGGACTTCTTTTTTTTGATTCAAGAGCACCTCTTTTTGGATTTTTCTCTGTCTTTGTTAGTTGATTACTCGTGTACGTCGCCATTCTCGTCGGAGAAGAACTTCTAATAGTATCAGGGCTATTAACTGACTGCACAGTATCTTCTGGGCTCGATTTTGGATAAACTGATATTATGACAAGGGGGCTATGACAGTCTTTTAGAGTGTTTTGGTCTGATTTATTTGTGGGCCCAAAGCTACAACTGCACTGGACTTTTTTGTCGGAAAATGATGAACTCCTCGCTTTCGTCATAGCTACATTGCATTGCACATTAAAATTGACTTGAGTTCCATGCGATTCTTTGCTGTAACTAAAAGCTATTTTGACATATTTTATTAATACTTTAGAAGAACTTAAATTTTAGCTTAGTAATAATATTTTACCTGGGTTCTTCTTCTACGATAGGAGGTTTGTCATAGCATACGTTGTAGTCAGCCTGTATGCACGAGTCTTTTTGCATCCTGGGGGTCGTATAAATCGATATATGTACTTAATTTAGAAGCAAATAGTTGACGTATAATAGGTATGAATGATTAGTGATGAGACATTTTAATAAAACTTACGTTGATTGTGCGTCTGCGGTTCCGTATGAAGTTGTGGCAATAATTGGGGAAAAGTCCCTCGTCAGCTGAGCGACGTCTGATAAAACTAGTACAATAAAATAATTGAATTAACTTCATAGTAAATTTTAAGGTTACTAACGTATATAACTGCGCTGACTAACAAATAATTTGTGCTGATAACAATAAAAAATTTTTTTAAAGTCTGTTATACATTTTTTGCATCATAATCAAATTAGTTAATTTTTTTCACTTATTCTTTTAATATTTTAATGTATAGAATTTACACTTCTACAGTTTTATTATATGTATAGAAGATATAGATTTGTTGATCACAATCATCACAAGTTTTAAATCTACATATTTATACTAAGTAATAAGTTTATCTGACAACTATACCTTGTTTGTCGTTAATAGTAGCTCCGTATCTGAGCACATATTTCTCATCTTCAGATATACCGAACTGCCCAAAGATCTTTACTCGACTTTTTTTCGGTGATTCATTTGATTCATCGCCACACAAGCAGTCTTGGCAGCTCGGGTACCTCCACTCGACAGAGGTCTGCTGGGGAGCATCACTGTTGTCCATCAATGCTTTCTTTTCCTTTTTTTCTTTCTTCTTCTTTCGATCCATGTTTAAGGACTGGATCAGATGTTTGAAATTCGATAGTTCTTTAATTGGTATGTCATCATCTCTTATATAACTGTCGTGGTCGGATGAGAACTTCGCACTACCTGTAGTCTTGATCTCATATATTTTCTCTCTTCTTCGACCTGCTACTATTAAGTACACGTTCTTGGTTTGTACTGAGTTCTCGTGGTTCGATGTGGTGCTCTGAATTTTCTTAGGCACGTATCTCCGCCTCCGAAGTAGTTTTGCTGTTTGTATCTGATCCGTTTTAGGTATAACCGTTACTTTTATTAGAGGTTTCTCAACAGGGTTCGGACTTCTTTCCGACTTTAGTACCGAAGGTGTTTCGTTTTCCGGATGCTGTAAGCTTGTGTAACTTACGATTGAGTAATGTTCTAGTATCTGTAAAAATCAAGAAACGTAAGTACACGACTAGCACCAGATGTCTATTGTTGTCTTAACGAAACGTGAACTGTATGGACTGACCTGTCTCTCGGAAGTTTTCTTAAGAACCAGTGAGGTGGAGGAGTCGGAGCTAGTTTTAATAATAGGTTTAATATTCTTTGTGGAGCTGGATGTTCGTCGAGCGAACTTGTTTCGAAGCCCTCGCAACAAGTGCACGTCGTTCGCCTCAGTGTTATACACACTACCAAACTCTCTGCTAGTATGAAGCCTTTTCACTGGCGGACTCAAAAAGTCCAGTGATTCTACAAATAAAAAAATATACAAATAAAACCACAGAACAAAATAAAACTAACAATTTTTATAAAGACAAAACAAAAATTAAATCAGACCAATAAATTCAGACTCAGCGCTGTAACAGTCCATAATGAATTTCGAGGCTACATTAAACAATATTAAATACAAATATTATCACTACGAAGCCACATTTTTCGGGAGTAAAATTTTGACACTGATCGTAGTTTGGCAATATCAGTTGACATCACTTGTTTTCTTTTTTGCTGTCATAAACAACAGTATATGTTTCCAAAAGACCAACAAGAATTCAAAAAGGAGCTCCTATTACATAATAGTCAAAGACAAAATCCAAATGTCACACATTATTTTTATTGATAGGTTATCATCTCATCATGTTGATTATTTACAAAATTTTTAATCCTGTAAGCCTTTAAGTACAATATAAAAAAAACAAATGACTATCCTAACTGGTAATTACCATCCAACTACCGATAGTGACTTATTAGAAGTAGAAATTTTATTGTTGGATATTTTGAACAAAGTGGAAGCTAGTGGGAGCCAGTGACAAAATGGAGGAAAGGCCCATAGATGAGTCGACGCTGACGACGACAATAAGGCTTCCAGAGAAGATGAGAACTGGTATGATAATCCCGATATCAAAGAAGACCTTCTTCAACACAAATTGGAAGCCAAAAGCAGCTCCCCTCTGCGCTTACGACATGCTGTACCACCCACCCGACTACAATCCTAAGTCAGCTCGCTCCGATCGACAGGAACCTAAAATCATCCGAAAGAATATTTGGGCCCAAGTAATTTGACTTCTGGATTTATTACTTTTAAGTGGAATTGAAAAAATATTTAATTTCGTAGATTTGTAAATTCATCATCATGTCATAAAACGTCCACGTCACACACATATTTTTTTTTTGTTTAAGCCGGGAAAATCATCGAATGATTGCTCCCGCCTGGGTGATGCTCCAGGAAGTGTCAGACTCTTACTGATTAAAAACCACCCCGTTCCTATTCCTGCAGTTCGAGCCGGAGCCCCGGCAACCCGTTAAGTACTCCGTGGCTCCGAATCGGCATCAGCCGTATTGGGCCCCATCCGTGGTGGTCTGATGGCTCTTTGAGGCGCACGCGAAACGCGACGCGCCGTACGCTCGGGTCACAGAGATAAAAACTCTACCCCTGTTCCAAATATCATCCAGATCCCTTTAGCCTTTGTGACGTGAAGGAGTAACAAATAAACATATAAACTTTTGCATTTATAGATTAGTGGGAGTGGGGTTCTATCTTAGATGCTGGTTAAAATTAACCCTGACGTTCTCTCTCTCATAATTTAGACCTTTATAAAATAGATGAAAATAAACGAGCAAGGCGTGATAGGATTCATCTGAATTTATTTTTGTTTTTGAAGTGAAATATTTTGACTACAGGAACGCCACAAGCTTATACCATCTACGACCCATTTTGTCCATGGAAGACCAACATGGCCGATCCTCGATCGACCCACTAAGCAGTTCGTGAGGATAGTCGGTAAGATTTTATTTATATTTATTTTAAGGGATCTGTTTAAGGTTTTTTTTTGCATCAAGTTACAATAGTGTAAATGTTAAATTAATCAGGTCAAGTATACGATTTACGTAACTGTTCGAGGCAGTTACTCGATAATTCACGCTAGGGTCTCATGGCTTCTCGACTAGTTTCAAGCTACGCAAGAGCCCATAATCATTAGTAAGGTAGTGACATGAGTAAGCCGATTTAAAAAGAGTAATCTTTTCCAAAAAGTTTTACTTTCTAAGAAAGGAAATTAAATAAAATTACTTTCAAAGTGCATTTAATGGTCTGAATAGAGTTAAAACACCTTTTCTTTGATGACGGGGTAACTTTCAAAAGGCATCTAGCTTTTTGGGGATAAAAGATTAGGGAGTGTGGGATTTTTACCTCACTAAAACCACTCCGATGGCCACCCTCAACGCCTGTATGAAGGCACCGGGTTCTATAAAAGAGACCTGCTCCGGAGCCTCCACGGTGCAACGCCTGTTACGTTAGGGTTAAAACACCTAATACATTTTTGTTTGTATTTCAGTGAAAAATGAGAATCCTCATATGCGTATCAAACATATACTGGAATGGGCTGAAGTAGCCGACGAAGGATTGATGTCACTGTGTATTTAACCGACCTCCGGACTATAATTATGTTTTCGTCCTATAAATTTGTGGATAAACTGAAGATAAAGTTACAAGTAAATAAATGAATCTTTTTCCTTTTTTATTTATCCTTTATGGTGTGCTGTGGTCGGTGCTTTTGATTATGAAGCTGGTATTCAATCTCCTTGTTGCAATTCTATACCGGCCTCTATCGGAGATGGTTAGTGATGACACCCGGGCGTTTCCTCCCGCCCCATCAGACACAGGTACCTCCCGAAACTTCCATGTCCGGTGAGGACCTGCGTCAGGCGGTAGGTGAGGACGCCGTAGCGTCTCTCAAGCCACTCCTCAAAGAGGGGACTTACCGCTGCAATGGCAGCGAGCCCAGAAAGTGTAGGGTACGTACAGTTGAAGTGTACGTAGTTGAATTGAAGCAGTGTAGCACCTTTTTACTTGAAGTTGTGTAGACTGTATGTACCTACGATTTAAATGTACAGTTCGAATGTATAGTTAAAACTACACAGTTACGGTACGCGTAGTCGTACGGTGTGTAGCCTGGATTAGTTATTTTTTAAGATAGGAAAGTATAGTAATTGACGTAAAGAACATATAATAAATCATAATACACAATCTCGTACAAAATTCGTAGAATACCTAAGTATTCTTTGACTATAAAATTACACAATTACTAAGTACCAGTGTATCACGTATTGGAAAAGAAATTGCCTATTTAGATGCCCTTTTAGGGCCGATTGTTCCAACGCCAAATAAATTGTAACTAAGCAATAAGTACCAATATATGTACCTTATGCTTGTAATGTGTTGTCCTTTGTAATATTGTCTGTGTGGTGTAGGTACATACATGAAATGATAAATAAATAAATAAATGAGTTTGAACATGTGACAATTCTTCTAAACAAAAAACAGTCAAATGTCAATTTTATTCTACAGTTAAGAATTAACTAATGATTGAAAAATCGACCCTTAGTTAAGTTCATGTTATAATTCTGAGGAGGAGTCTAATGTTTCAATTTCGAATCGGGTTAGGCAATCATCGGGTAAATATTAGTCGAATTATGTGGAACCGAGTTCACGATTGGGTACGGGCGGCGGCGTGTGATGGCCGATCTCATGCGTTGCGTGATTGTTACAGTTGGTGATACCCTTCGAGAAATGAAACGCGTGATGTACAAATATCATATCATAACATTACGCCTTTTATCCCCGAAGGGGTAGGCAGAGGTGCACATTATACCACTTCACAATGTAACACCCACTTTTCACTATTTATGTTATGAGTCCCATGTAATAGGGGGTGAGTCTATTGCCATATACCAGGCACAATTCCAGACTCCGTGCTACTACTGAGAATATTTAAAATCCCAGTAATACTTATTTATGTACAAATATCATGTGATTAAAATAAATAACAGAACAACTTACATTAACACAGCTTCTTCTTAACTTTTCGATTAAAACTAAAATTTTGCTTACAAGCAAATTGTCGAGCACCTTATCGTCAGAAGGTGACAAATGCGTTAAAATATGTCTGTTACATAAACCCTAATATTTATGCTCATTCATTTACATAATCGTCCCTTGTAGTACAGGTTCGATTTCCTAAAACATGACTATTTGTGTTCGGAGCTGTGTTCTGCCTATCAACGCGCGATAATAAAATACGCATTTTTTACAAGTCCTGTTATTTCAGGCCAAAGTTTAACACAGGTTGAATTTCCCTTATGCAGTTCGGTAAAGGAAAGGGAATAAAGACTTCCTTCTTTAAGGAGTTTCAGCCGACGAAAGAAAAAAATAAAACACGATAAAACAAAACGACAAAATGATAACTACATCCTTTTACAGTCTCAATTATATTTTGAGTTTTTACGCAATACGCACGAATTACGCAAAACTCTTTAATTTGGCCTGAAATAACAGGACTTGTAAAAAATGCGTATTTTATTATCGCGCGTTGATAGGCAGAACACAGCTCCGAACACAAATAGTCATGTTTTAGGAAATCGAACCTGTACTACAAGGGACGATTATGTAAATGAATGAGCATAAATATTAGGGTTTATGTAACAGACATATTTTAACGCATTTGTCACCTTCTGACGATAAGGTGCTCGACAATTTGCTTGTAAGCAAAATTTTAGTTTTAATCGAAAAGTTAAGAAGAAGCTGTGTTAATGTAAGTTGTTCTGTTATTTATTTTAATCACATGATATTTGTACATAAATGTAAGTATTACTGGGATTTTAAATATTCTCAGTAGTAGCACGGAGTCTGGAATTGTGCCTGGTATATGGCAATAGACTCACCCCCTATTACATGGGACTCATAACATAAATAGTGAAAAGTGGGTGTTACATTGTGAAGTGGTATAATGTGCACCTCTGCCTACCCCTTCGGGGATAAAAGCGTGATGTTATGATATGATATTTGTACATCACGCGTTTCATTTCTCGAAGGGTATCACCAACTGTAACAATCACGCAACGCATGAGATCGGCCATCACACGCCGCCGCCCGTACCCAATCGTGAACTCGGTTCCACATAATTCGACTAATATTTACCCGATGATTGCCTAACCCGATTCGAAATTGAAACATTAGACTCCTTCTCAGAATTGTAATATGAACTTAACTAAGGGTCGATTTTTCAATTATTAGCTAATTCTTAACTGTAGAATAAAATTGACATTTGACTGTTTTTTGTTTAGAAGAATTGTCACATGTTCAAACTCATTTATTTATTTATTTATCATTTCATGTATGTACCTACACCACACAGACAATATTACAAAGGACAACACATTACAAGCATAAGGTACATATATTGGTACTTATTGCTTAGTTACAATTTATTTGGCGTTGGAACAATCGGCCCTAAAAGGGCATCTAAATAGGCAATTTCTTTTCCAATACGTGATACACTGGTACTTAGTAATTGTGTAATTTTATAGTCAAAGAATACTTAGGTATTCTACGAATTTTGTACGAGATTGTGTATTATGATTTATTATATGTTCTTTACGTCAATTACTATACTTTCCTATCTTAAAAAATAACTAATCCAGGCTACACACCGTACGACTACGCGTACCGTAACTGTGTAGTTTTAACTATACATTCGAACTGTACATTTAAATCGTAGGTACATACAGTCTACACAACTTCAAGTAAAAAGGTGCTACACTGCTTCAATTCAACTACGTACACTTCAACTGTACGTACCCTACACTTTCTGGGCTCGCTGCCATTGCAGCGGTAAGTCCCCTCTTTGAGGAGTGGCTTGAGAGAGGTACCTGTGTCTGATGGGGCGGGAGGAAACGCCCGGGTGTCATCACTGCGAGGACCGCCCTGAGGACACGGTGGAACCACCGTAGCGGAATGCCCTGCGTGGGCTGAGCACCGCCGTGCCCTCAGGGAAGTGATCGGCGATGGCGACCTCTCGCGTCCGGGCCTAGTGCAGGCCATGATGCGGAGCGAGGGGGACTGGGATGCCGTCTCCTCCTTTTGCGAAGCAGTCATGCTAGCTAAGGAGGAGGCGGGACGCGTGAGGCAGCGAAGCGCTGCCTCCTCGCGACCCAGCCATCGCGAAGGACACACCGGGCGTCGGGGATCGCGGGACGATCTCCGGCCACCGTAAGCGCGGGCCTGCGGACGGCGAGCATGGGTGGCTCCCCGTCCGACCAGAAACAGACCCGAGCGTACGGCGCGTCGCGTTCCGCGCGCGCCTCAAAGAGCCATCAGACCACCACAGATGGGGCCCAATAGGGCCGATGCCGATTCGGAGTCGCGGAGAACCTAACGGGTAACCGGGGCTCCGGCTCGACGTGCAGGAGAAGGAACGGGGTGGTTTTTAGTCAGTAAGAGTCTGACACTCCCTTCCGCCTCACCCAGGCGGGAGCAGTCATTCGATGATTTTCCCCCCTTAAAAAAAAAAAAAAAAACCCTACACTTTCAGTTATAACTATACAGTTTAACTGTTTGCTCTACGCACCTTAAGATTAAACTACGTACGTTTCGACTGTACAGTTTAACTGTAAGGTGAGAAGCGTATTTTACTAAGAAAAGTCGTAAATAGTACCCGTCTAAAATCACCCTAATAATAACGCATGTAATGCTGTCAATCAACCAATATATCAGTCGAGGTTTGTAGCTCCAAGGACAAGTTGTGATGACATCTGTACTAAGTTCATCGACATTCCAATCTAGTAAACCAGACCGTAATATTTCATCTCATCATCCATTCACATTCGATAAGAACCTCTTAAGTCGTAAACCGGAACCGTAGTATCGGGATCTATCAGTTATCAGAGTTATCAGTGACGTAACGTGATGTCATGTGATGATCTTATCAGGATATCTCACAGCTGGCTGTGATAGATCAATTTCTTCAGTCAGATGACTCAAAAGTGTAAAACCCCAAATGACTATCAAAATTTACATCGAAATTTGTCTCCCTCGACGGCCGGGGCGTGAGGAGGTTTGTTCCCTCACGCCCTCCTCCTCTTTGTATAGCATGACTGCATTGCCGAAGGAAGAGACGGCATCTCAGTCCGCCTCACTCGGCACCATGGCCTGAACCAGAGCCGGACGCGAGAGGTCGCCGTCGCCGATCACACCTCTGATTAAACGGCGGTGCCAAGCCCAGGCAGGGCACACCGCCACTGTATGCTCTGCCGTGTCCTCAGGGCGGTCCTCGCAGTGATGACATCCGGGCGTTTCTTCCCGCCTAATCCGAAACAGGAACCTACCGAAACTTCCGTGTCCGGTAAGCACTTGCGTCAGGCGGTAGGTGAGGACGCCGTAGCGTCTCTCAAGCCACTCCTCAAAGAGGGGACTTGCCGCTGCAATGACAGCGAGCCCAATGAGACTAACTATTTAACCTTTTAGTCTATATCATGTAAATTTTTTATTCTTTTGTCTCTTTTAAGTATCTGACCAGCTCAGAACAGCGTGACATGTTGTAGCATTGGAAAAAATAGCGCAGACCGATGTAGCGTAGTACTCAACAG